TCTAACTTCCTAACCCCACAAAACATAGTTGAAACATACGTTTAACTGATTTTGTAGCTCAGCACAATACAAATTTGTGTAGAATACAAATCCCTGAATTATTAGAAATAACTATAGTTTGGAGGTTGGTACAGATTAATTAGAATTCAGTTATACAGTATCTGTCTTCCGATGGTTATAACCCAGTTAGCAACATATTGGTGATTCGCAAATAGACCACATCTTTCACCGTTTGATTAAAAAAATTAACTAATTTTAAAAAAATTAACTAAAAGTATCCAGAAAATTAAACAATTTTGGTCAGTGTTACCATAGTTTCAGGCGGATCATTTCAAAATTTTGCAATCAATTTTTTTCCGTGTTGATAAACAAAAGCCTAATCAAAATATAATACAAAACAGCTCATATCAGGGCGAAGCCCTGAATGTTTTGACAGCCTTCTAGGGTATATGGAGCAGTAATAACTTGAGATTTTAGTAATTTGAAATTTTTTGAGAAAATCATCACTCCACACCCCATATAAAGTACGAAATGATAAATTTTGCTCCTAGTAACAAATCAATTACAACAAGTAGCGTCCTTTAACCAATTGGAACCATTTCTAAGACGGATTAATTCTTCGCTTACGCGTTGATTGTGCGAAATATATCGCGCATTAATTGTCCCAAATTGGCAGCAATGGAAATCTTTAAGCGCATTTTACTTTAAACCCCTATAGAAAGAACTCTATTCAAGTTTGAGCTCAGAACAACAATATTTTTTGAATGATATAAAAGCATCCGTCAAAATGGCTAAAGAAAAAGCCGAAATTTGTCTGAAGAAAAAAAAACATAAGACAAATATTCCGGAGCACAAACCACCCCGGAACACAAAAGTTCCGTTACTTTCATTATGAAAATCGGAACAAAAAGTAATATTTTGACAAACTTCTATATTCCTTTGTTTGAGATGTTGTGGTTACCTTTTACTAAATAACTTTTCTATCTGTAAAATTTAAAAGGTAAAAGTTATTGTTATTTTTAAAGATATTGAAGAAACTTATTTCATGAAAACTTAAATTTGGCATTTACTATTGCAATTGAATTTGGTACCATTTCCTATTGCACAGATTAGATGCAATCTCAATGAATAAATCCAGTTCAGCAAATATTTTAAATGATTTGAGAAACTACATGATTCAAATAATGTCCTAATTGTCTGAGTGAACATTCCCCCCACACCCCATAGAAAGTATGAAGCGGTAAATTTTGCTCCTAGTAACAAATCATTTATGGCAATTAGCGTCCTTTAACCAATTTGGAACCATTTCTAAGACGGATTAATTCTTCGCTTAGGCGTTAATAGCGCGAAATACATCGCGCGTTAATTGTCCCAAAATGGCCAAAATGACAATCTTTCAACTCCTACAACTTTACGAAAAATGATCAACAAATGAAATATCTTTTCAAATTTAAGCGAAGGACAGCTATACCTTTCGAATGATAAAAAAAATTCATCAAAATGGCTAGTTGAACAATCAAAACTTGTCTAAAGAAAAAAAACTGCTATTTTGTTACTTTCGATATGAAAGTCGGAGCAAATAAAAATTATTACTTGTTTGAATACCACTAACACATGAATAAACTAAAACAAAACTGAATGTTTTGCCTGGAAAGAATCATAAGGAATCAATTTCATAAGTGATCAATAGGAATCATAAGGGATCAATAAGAATATCAATTTGCGGTAGTTTTCACAAAAACAAGATAAGTAAACCGCGTGATTTGTGCAATTTTTCATAAGCGCGTTGCAATCTCAATGAATAAATCTAGTTCGGCAATTATTTTAAATGATTTGAGAAACTACATGATTCAAATAATGTCCTAAAAAATGTTTACTAGCAACATCGCTTTGGGTATAGTAATGGGCGTGAAGAGCGTATTTTCACAGAACAAAAAGAAATTCATTTGAAAGCATTTTCAAATGATTTTTTTCTGAAAACATTTTCTGAAAACAGTTCTAAATTCTCATTTGTGTTGCAGAAATTCTCATTTGTATTGCAAGGCTATAACACACAAAAACGTAACTGTTTAATTTTTCAGCTTTTCAATTATTGACTTCCGATAGATACTTTTAAATTGATGTTAACGTTTTTAAACTTTAGTTGGACAATCTCGAATAAAAGCTTTTCATCAAGCGATTGGCATGAAAACTGCCATTAATTTACATGCACAAATTCGCTGATATTTTTAATTCCATTGGCGCAATTATCTCAAATCTAAGTTTTTCAGAAGGGCATCAAGAACGTTTGATTTGAACCAATACTGGTACTAGTTTACCTGTTTGATCCCTCAAATATGCTGTGGTTCCTAATGAAAAAATTCTAACAGTAAGCATGCTTATTTCTCTAGATTGCTATCCAAACTGGCCTAGTTAGTTTAGTGGTTACAAGTACAGTCACCAACCCCAAGGCGTATATTCAAATCCCGTGCTTGCTGCTCTTTTTAGAAAATAGGCGGGGCCAATCATCTAAACTAGTTTTGTCACGGGACCAAACAAGTAAACTAGTACCCCAATACCTATATCGTATCTTGACTGCAAAAATACTGACAGTTAATTTGGTTTCGTTTATGTCTTTGCAAAATTTCATAGAGAATAGCCAACAATAATTCGTACAAGAAAATTAGTTTGGAAGTTTTAAAATTAAAAAATTTATATTTAACTTACTTCAGAAGTCAAGATCAACAAAAATACATAAAGGGGCTTAAGAGAGCAAAAAAAATCACTGTTTTAAATAAGTTTAGCTAATCAAGCTAATTTGAAATCTAGCCAGAATCTGTATAATCAGTTAATTTTTAACTACCAGAAACACTGTAACCTACTGAAACACGCAAAATGAGAAAATATTCGTAAAATGCGCGTTTTGTTGGGACTTGAAAAAGCATCGCAATTATCATTACGTTTTTTGACGCCATATTTCTTTTGTATTTGTAGATTGAAAATTTTCGAAGAAATGATTTTCAAAGGAATGATTTTTTCTAGTTCAAGTTGTTGCCAGAATTTAGCTTAAAGTTCTTAAATCAAGAAAAATTTCGTCTATGTTGAAGTGAGCTTTTTTTGGGTATTTGCCCCATTTCTAACACTTTGAAAGCAATTAACCAATATCAAATTTTGTTGGCTCATATCCGATGAAGTGATATGCTAATCACTTTTCTTATCAGTACATTTTACACGTTTTGCACATTTTACATGTTGAAAAGTATTAGAACATTTTTTGTCCAGCAGAGAACTGTATTTCAAATTTTTGGGTGATTTTTGTATTGCGCCATTACTTGAATCATACTTGAATCATCAGCAATCATAAGGGGAGTTTTTATCTGCATTTCAAGGGCAATGGGGACAGAAAAACTAAGATATGCATTGGCGCAAAAAATGAGGATTTTCTCGAGGGAAGGGGCGGATTTATTCTGAAAAAAATTTTAAAACTTTTGCCGACCTTTTTTTCAGGTCGACTAAATTGATTTTCCGAGCTCTCCCAAAGCATTATTAAGACCCTGTTTTGGTCAAATTTACTGCGCCGCAGGCAAAATTATGAAAAAACAGGCCAAAATTTTGACCAAAAAAATCGCGCTTTTTCGGCGCGCGCTGCCCCTCAAATTTAGTATATTCTGGCACCAAAGAAAATTTTTAGGGTCAGTCAGCCAAAAATGGATATCTCAAAATAGTACAAAGAGGGACCCTTTGGGTCGACAGGGAGTCAAATCCCTAAGGGGGGAGCGTGGCGTCCACCCCTCCCTCCCCAAATCCGCCCCTGCCTCTTGTTATTTTTTGAGAATTCATCGTTCACCAAAAGAAATTGGCAACTGTCCTTAAATAACATACAGAAAAAGTTGCTGGGCTCGGAAAAATTCTTGCGGGCTCTTTAACTACACTTCAAGCGCGTGATTCTCAGCTCGAAATCAGTTAAGTTGAAATCATTTTGTCCATTTAGCGACATCAGGCTCAAAAAACGGCTAGTTGATTTTTTTTGAATATTTTTGTTCTGTCTTAAGTTTTCGTCACTGTGCGAATCAGCAATTTTTGATAGCTAGATGTAGAATAAGAGGAAAATGGTTTCGGAAAAAAAATTGGTATCTGAAACAATATTATGTCATTATTCATTCACAACTTAGGATATTTTCTATTATAGGACCCAAGGTTATCAAAATGTTGGGTCTATTCACTTATTCCGCCCAAAAACCAATATTTCAACAACTTGAAGAGAAAATCTCTAGCATTCAATTTGATTGGCTAGAATAAGCCAATCAAATTTCAGAAGCATTCAAAATGTTTTGTTGGCAATGTTAAATCAATTTAAAATTATGTCCAATTAGTCGAAAATATGAACTGTTTGGAAAACTATTCAAGTTTGTTTCATTTAACTTGTTGAGTTTTACCCAAACCAGAAGAAAAAACTAGAAAAAAGCTACCGGAACAAAAATGTCACTTTTAGCATCTGCTCAAAACTCGGCCTTGTTAGAAATTGGCTACAATGAAAATGGTTGAATTTTTATGAACCAAATGAATCATAAAATGTTTTGTTCTCTGTATTTATACATTGAATACGACGAAATTGCATAATTAAGAAAATTGGGCGGAATAAGTAAAAAGACCCCAAATGATAATTGAAATTTTGTTTTTATTGAAAATGGAGATTTATTTTTGGTGATGTTATTTTCAACCTTTCATATTCAAGCTTCTGATCAAACTTTCCTAAAGATCAGTTTTTCTTATGCAACTTGTAGAAAACTATTCCAAACCCTAATAAAGTTAGGCCGAGTTTCAGCATTTTCAACTTTTTGTTACTGCCTTTTTGGGATTTTTTGAAACCAATAGTTGCGTAGGTCTGAAGTTGACGAGATAAAGGCTATCTTAAATTATGTGTTTGATGGTTTCAAGGAAAATTAGAAACCCAATGGGGCGAAAGTTGCATCAATTTCACATTAATACAATCTCTATTTTTTCACAATTCACAATTTCAGCCAATCAAAACAGTGGAAATTATCAGGTAAATGAAGTGAAGGCAAATTTGAGAGTTACGGTGACCGTTTGATGTCAGTGGTGATAGAGTATATATATTAAAGAACGACTTCTGATACCAGTTCAATCAGCGTAATTTTATCAAATCAACCCAATAATCAGGTAACAAATTTGCATCTTCTCAAAAATTATAGTTTATTTTTTTCGTATTCTTTCAAAATAGATTCTAAATTTGACACTAACTCTTTTACGCTTTAAATATTAACTAGATTTGTCCTAAAATTTAGTCAAACTGGTCAAAAACAAGGTTTTGTTCGATTTTCAAACCCAAACTTAAAACTGCAAAAAAAACTCCTTTTTGTTTTTTGCTTTGATGAAGTCTGAGCTGTTTCAAGAATATAAAAAATCTACCCTCTAGTTCAAAACAACTGACTATAGAAAGTGATACTTTTATTCGCAGACTTTTCCTTGACCGCGGGAAAAAACAACAGAAATAGAACATCGGAAGCTGTGCTTAAACCGTAAGTCTTTTCATGCTAGCAGCGTTTAGAGAAGTAATTATCAAGAAAAAAGAAGAGCGCAGGAATCACTGTTCCTCTTTTACAAAGAACCTTGACAAACAAAAACACAATTTAATGCTCATTTTTTGGAATGGGTAAAATTGCTATTCTCAGCCATAGACCACAATTTCTCAGAACCTGAAATTTCATAGGCATAGGCACTACCGTCCCATTTATAGGTACTCGTATATTCAACAATAAAAAATTTTATGGTGTTTTTTATGGTCAATACACCTGAATTTCTAAAGTAATTATAGGTAAAGTTTTTGTTTTAATGTATTTATAGGTAATTTAAGGAAGAGCAAACTGACGTGTTAGAATGTGTTAAAGTATTTTTAAGCTAATTTTATAAGGTAAACTATTTTTGTGCGTAGCTGCACGGAATCTTTTTGGGCCAGCTGTTCTCCACATTCTGTCACGTCAGTTTGTACCCAAAATGGATTTCTTTCAAAATTCCCCCACCCTTGCTTAACCGTTGCATTACTTTTTTTATAGGGGTGGCAATTCGTTACTAGGTACCATAAGGAAGGAAATAGTTAGAGAGATCACAAAAACCTCTCGTCTTGTTAAATTTCATAGCATCACTGACCATCCTTGTATTAGTTTTGAACACAATTTTGATGCCAATTGTAAGTAACTTTTTCCAGCTTTTTCTTGTAGCTTCAGAAACTCCAAAAATGTCGGATCTCTTTAACTGTTTCCCCCCTCGGGTGCCTAGTAACGAATATCCCCTATAAAGAAATAAATCAACGGTTAAGCATATGAGAATTTCATATCTAATAACGAATATCCCCCTTTTGCAAAAGGGGGATATGTAGTTAAAGAGATCCAAAATGCCCGCCATTTCTTAAGACACTTGACATCGACGCCTTCAGAAAAACTACTTAAATACGAATTTGTTGCATCGACTTACAGCTTTTTAAATAAGAGCGCCAATAAAATCTATGCATTTTGTAAAGAAAATTTTCCAAAATTTGAAAATTCGTGCACTGGAAAATTCGTGTCTTAAATCCACTCTCTGAAGAATTAGAGATTTAAACAAATATTAAAAAACATAAAATACACACATGCTTAATTGTTCAACAAAGAACATTAGTTGATTTTTTCAAACGTTTTATTCTCCAATAAAATATGTATTTTGCTTTTTCTTTGGCGAGTTTTATGTTCTGTAAAGACATAAAACAAATTTTGTTTGTAATTTTTATGTCTATTTTCCCTTCCGATGTCTCGAACCATTAATGTCAAAGGGCTCCAAATTTACAACTTTACGATACACCCTGATCAGATAATAGCTTTGGTAATTTAGCACTTCACCCTTGGCATTTGAAATTAACAAGTTTTTATGGATTATAGACCACAAAGTAGCCAAATAAGGTGTCAAGTTCTTCATTTGAATGGCCAAGGGTATTGTAATTTTCAGAGACAAGGAAAAAAATTCACATTGTCAAAAGTTACATCGGCAAGAACCAAAAAAAAAATAAACAAAATTTTCAAAGTGAAAATGTTGAAAATACTTTTTTTTCAAAATGTTTTCAAATTTAAACAATAAACAATCAGAAAAAAAATTCAAAGGTTTTGGATTTTTAAAATACTCAAAAACAAAACAAACAGAACTAAAAGCTTATCAAAAGATTGTCCTTTAAGCTGCCTATCATACAAATACGTAGTAGAACAATTGAGAATCTTAGAAATGACTTCATTATTCACATATTTCAATTTGATGATTTTGCCTTCCGACTTCTGCTTTGGGCGAATTGTTTTATTCGCCCGCTGTTCTGTAATACAATTATGTAAATGAAGTAGCACAAATGGACCCCTAGGCGTGAAAATGATCATTCAAAGCTACCCATAAATCGAGGCAAAATAGTTTCGTTCTTGTTTACAACCATATAATTAAAACGCAATTTGCTTTCTGCTTCTAGTTTTTTTTTTCATATCACCACCCAATCATTTGCAGTGCAAGAGAAGACCTCTTATATCAAGGAAACGGAAATTATACTATAAAGTTTTCTTTGTTATTCAAATTCTTCTTGAAGGTGGCGCTCCCGGGTCGTGGTGCTCGATTTATGTTTCAATTTTCTCGAAAAAATTGGTATGTTTCGTTTGTCTGGTCAAATTTTGGTATGTTTCGAGTTTCGCGACCAAATTGTGGTATTTTTCGACTTTGTTCGACCCAATTCAGATCTTTTTCTATAGGTTTCTACTTTCTCTGACATTTTTAAAACTTTGAAAGTTTAACTCCGCATAGATATGTTTCGATTTTCTCGACCAAAAATGAATATGTTTCGACTGTCTCGACTTTCTCTACAAAGAAAAAATTTTCTCGCTTTTTGTCGGCTGTTATTGCTCCAAAAACTGTTCTCAAGGCTTATTTGATCTCTCAGAGAAAACAAATGTGGTTTCAATTTTCATTTCAAATTTTGGAACTGAAAATTTGTTTTTATTTGGTTTAGTTTTTAATGGTGTTCAATATAAATGAAATAGCTCCGATATTGAGACAGTTTCTATTGCGCCTGTAAGTTTTTATCTTTTTTGTTAATATGTTTTTAGTAAAGCCGATTTGTTGAAACAGTACAAAAAATTTCAAAAATTTCCTCGATTGATGTTTTGACTGTCCTCGGCCTACATTTCGACTGCGCTTGATCTACGCTTTGATTTTCTCGACTATCAAAAAATCCTGAGTAAGTTCACAAAAAATTATAATGTATGCTCTTCAGTTGTTTTTTTTGTGATAATACTTGCTATGAAAAAAAAAAATAATAAGAACCTTAGAAATGCCAAATTCCTCATTTTTTCTAAGTTGAATATCCCAATTTTGCTTTTACTTTCAGTAAAAATCTGGACTGAAACTGTTGATGTGAAAACTAATACTTGAAGAATTATTGGAAGAATTCATTTTTCCTTGCCTCAGGAACCCTTAGATTTCCAAAACTTAAATGGTTCCCTCTGAAACTTTTAGTTTTGCGTCTAGCAAATCTCCTCAATTGATCGTTGCGAATGACAAACTTTGGACGGAGATTTTTTCTGAGCAGACTTTATTTCTCAATTTTCAGTTTAAATTTAATTAAAAACAACTAAAATTTTGAAAAAAAAATTAAGTTGTTTTCGACCTATCTTTCAACTGTGCTCGACTTATGTTTTGACTTTCACGACCTATGTTTCAACTCTCTTGACCATTATCGGATATGTTTCGACATTGTGCTCGACTTAAAATAGCTTCTCGACCGCCAAATTTCAGTCGCAAAACTGCACTTGCTCGACTTTCAACGTCGAAACATAAGTCGAGCACCTCGACCCGCGAGGCTATTCAACCTAACGAGTAGCTATCCTCTGGGATAAATATTCCAATTACGTAACGACAGACAAAACATGATCAAATACAAATCAGAAAAAAATATCGGCCAGCTAAATATTATCAATAATATAATTGTTTTTGAAAAGCTTAACAAACTTTGAAAATTGATCCTCTGAAAACGTTTCAATTTCATCAGGTAAAATTTAATTTGACATCAAAATATTGAAGGATAAAGATAAAAAAAGGATTTTTGCGTTAAATAGGAACATTTTTGTTCAAGATTTTTGAACAATTTTCTTCAACAGTACTTAAATGAACAGTTACGAAATGTCTTAGAGTTAGTTTAAAAAAATAGATTACTTTCAGTTAATTGGAAATTCTATTGCCATTGTTTAAATTGAGAGTTGTTTATGGTAAGCTAGAAACAAGAAAAGAACAACAAAAACAGCAGCAACAAAACGGCATCGACAACAACAACAACGACAACAATAGATGAAGAACTTGAGTGTAGTGGTAGTGGTGTCGCTACTCGTCGTCTTGCTTACGAGTGACCATCTTGCTTCGGCTGTTGCCACAGGCGAGACGCAACGACTGAGAAGATGTGCTCGGGGAACCGACGGAGAGTAAGTGCAAACATTTTTGTATCCTTTTCAAACTCTGGATCATCAAAAAATAATTTAATTTTCCTATTTCATTTCCGTTTCTATGAAACTACAATATAGGTATCTTATTTCGAGCTCAGCTGAAATAAAAATGAGTACAGCAAGTGAAATCAGTAAATTGCGAATCCAGTCATCAATGTATCATCAAGTATCAGCGCCTGTGATAATTCAAAGACCAACAAAATCTAGTTTGCAGACCACATCAAAATAGCTGATCAATTCTAAATGCGTATGTTTACAAGAAAACATTACATCAATTGAAAAGTCTGATTTTGCGATTTTATTTACTGTGTTGGTACATAAACTTGTCTCGATTAGATATAGTTTGAAAAAGGTCTCGTTTGACAAATGATATCATTTGAAAGATGAAAAATGTTTTGATTAGGTATCGTTTTTAGAATTATTACAATGAGCACGAGCATAGACAAGCATAATTGTTCAGCCAAAAAAAAAAGAAAATAATTCGATTTCTGCTTCTCATTTTCGAAATTGACTTTTTCCTATCATAAAAATGAAATGATAACATCTGGTGTGTTTGGGTTTGATACGGCCCATATCTATCACTTTTTAAAACTAAAATTGATTATATAAAAAAGAGTTGTTTTCCTATTATGTAAGAACATTTATCATACTCAGATGCTCTGAAAGGCTTGTCTAATTTTTTACAAATCTCAATGGAAAAAATGAGATTATGATTCATTTTGAAATTAAAATTAACAACAATTGATTGAACAAGCCCATTTGATTAGATAAACTGATTTACAACACACTTAACAGTTTTTATGTTCGCAGATAAAGTAAATTTTATTGCTTAAAAAAATCAGATCGAATTGGGTGGATTTTTACAAGATACTATAAATAATTGACATCTAAGCAAAATCAAATCGACTTTTTGGGTTAATTAATTTGAAAGGTTTTTCAGGTTAATCTAATTATTATTGTTCCGACTTTCGTAACGAAAGTAACGGAATATTTGTGCTCGGGGTGGGTTTTTTTTCTTCAGACAAATTTTGACTTTTTAGCCATTTATATTTAGCCAATGAGCTTAAACTTGAAAAGATAATTTACCCGTGATCATTTTTTGTAAAGTTATGGCAAATTTTTTCGGCTGTTTGTCGCACATTGCAAAGCTCCCTCACAGCTGAATTTCAAATTTGAATAACAACTTTAATATCGCTTTAATGAAAGCTTTCGTGGTGAACAGCCGTAAAACTCTGATCACATCAGTTGTTCATGCTTTTAAACAGTATATCACTCATTTGGCAATTATACATAATAGAGGCTCCTCTATTCTCTACTTTTCACATACCGTCTAACTCACCTACCACTTTTCATTACAATCGTTAACATGAACAAAAGTTAAGACTGCAGGAAGTCAGCTTCGAAAAAGGCGTCTACTTTCTTGCGGTTTCAAGACATAGCGCAGTTTAATGAAAATCGGCAAATAACAATACGAAATAAATACGACTAATTATTGCTCCGACTTTCGTAATGAAAGTAACGGAATATTTGTGCTCGGGGTGGGTTTTTCTTCCAGACAAAATTCGGCTTTTTAACTAGCCATTTTTCACGGGATTTTAAAAATATCATTCGAAAGGTGTTGTTGCCCTGAGCTTAAATATGATCACCTGTGATCATTTTTCGTAAAGTTATGGGGGTTTAAATATAGCTATTTTGGCCAATTTGGAACAATTAAAGCGCGATATATTTCGCGCTATTAACGCGTAAGCGGAGAGTTAATCGGTCTTAGAAATCGTTCCAAATTGGTAGAAAGAAGCTTATTTGCCATAATTGATTTGTTACAGGAGCATATTTTATCACTTTGAATTTTATATGGCGTTTGTGGGGATGATTTTCACAAAAAATCTCAAAAAAAAATTTCAATTTTTTTATTAATTTTAACTTTTTCATGTTATTACTGCTCCAGAGACCTAAAAAGTCAAACGGAACATTCAGGGCTTCACCCTGATACGAGCGGTCTTGTTTTTATTACATTTAAATTTTCCATGATATTACTGCTCCATAGATCTTAAAAGGCAGACGGAACATTCAGGGCTTAGCCCTGATTCGAGCAGTCTTGTTGTTTTCGAAATTTGTACTCAAATATATTACGTAAGTTTTTTTAGTGGGCTACAGTCATTTGAAGAGAATTGCTTGCCGTAAATCATTAATTCCAGACTGATAACCTTAAAATTGTGCATCCAAAGTAATCCCGCGGTGATAAAAATAAATTTAACCGAAGTTTTTCAAATGCTTTTAAGATCAATATAAGGTACAATTTTATAAAAACAAATGAGACATCTTAAATTGGTACAAATAATTTTGACTGGAAAAAACAATTTGTACAAAAATAGTTGAAAGAAGGGTGGATACAATTCGATTTAAATCAATGTATTTCCCATTCAGTTATTTTATATGCAAACATGATGTGTCAAATTTTGAAGCTGTAGTTTTTTTTTTCAAAAAATGAACTTTAGTCAATTTAGAACTGACAGGAATGGATAATTTTAACTATAACTTTGGATAAGCTTAAATCAATATAAAAATGACTAAATCAAAAAAATTTTAAAGATTAGACAGTAAAGTTACTGACGTGAAGCGACAAATCGTAACAAAAACAAATTCGCACTTATAGACAAATTGCATCAGAAGACTACTTGCAATATACTTATAGACGCAGTCGCGCCAGCGTGTTGCGAGTTTGCCAACATAGGTTAGGATTGTCAACAAAATTTAGAGCCAGTTATCACCATGAAGCGTCGAAGCACGCATAGAGCACCTACTGAAGATCTTGAACAAAAGCTGATAAGTTGATAATTTTTATTGTTATTTTACTAGATGTCGCTTTCCGTAAATTTAGCAAGTTGTTTTTTGTTAGTTGTTTTTTGTTGCGAGTTGTTGCTGTACCGGGGACTAAACAATAAACTCAAATAGTTCGAGATGTTTACCTATTTTAACACAACTTGTTCCTATTCAAGAAATTTGAAAATGTACGTTTCGCTAGAAATTACTCATTGCTGTACCCAAAAAGCTTGGGCTGCTTTTTTTTATGACTCGTAGTTTTACTCAAAAGGTCACAGACAGCGCAGATATTTTCTTCTTTTCTCAGTCATTCCCCTAATAAGTCTGAGATGTTTATTCATTTTTTTCCTTCATAATTTTTTTTTCATTTGATAGTTTTTCAAATATTTGTTTCACATATTCAAAATGTCTTTCTTGATTTGTAGTATTTAATTTTGCGGTGGAAATAACACAAAAAAATCTAAATAGCATCATTAGAGTGATTTGCGGGAGCTCGGATAATTTGGTCGACCCACCAAAAAAAGGCCGAATTTTTTTTTGAATATTTCGAGACACTGCTCCCTCCCATCGAGAAAATCTTAGATCCGCTCTTGTCTGAGAGCCGGAATGCCCACAATTTCTAGAAAGAACTATGGTCTAAGGTGTTTTTAGCCCAATTTTAGGTATCTCAAAGCAAACACTAGAGCGCCAAGAACTGTTTCAATTTCCGCTGTCTTTTCTTAAATATTTTTTACTTTGCGATTTTTAAAAAGCAGAAGACGACGAACACTAAGGTTTGATGGACTCTTTGAGCTCTGCGAATGACTTTATTAGTTAGCACGATTCAATATTAAGCTAAAAAATATATTTTTGATATTTTTACGGTCTGGCGTGCTTTCTTATTTTTCTTATGAGTCAGTTCTACAATTGATTGGTCTGACTGAGATGTTTTCACAATATTTTTAAAGTCATTCTCAGCAGATCCGAGGTCTTTTCACCAGACTCAGGTATTTTTTCTTTTCTTGGATCAATCCTTTCTATTCACGAATAGTCGGAAAAGCTCCCGTAGTTTTTAAGTGATTCTTTCCCTCAAACAGCCTGAGATGCTTTTAATCTTTCTTACGAAATTTTCTTTTATTCATGTAGTCTGGGATACTTTCTGGTTATTATGGCTCGTTCGTAGACTCAAATTAATGGGATGCTCTCCTAATTTTATACGACTGGCTCTTTCCAGATGCATTTAAGTGCTCTGCTGCTTTGCACCATTGTTTTTTTCTCAACACACTAAGTTTCAATTTTGTTGATAATAAATTAATCATATTTTTACGTCTCGTTCGTATACTCAGATGATTTTCTTTTTCCTAGGACTTATTCCTTTTCCCAAAAAATCTGAGATGTTTTTCTACAAAATTATCTTTTTTATAGAGTCTGAGAGACCCTCGTCTTTTTTATATTCTTATATTCAAATGGTCTGAGGAGGTTCACTATGCACCTGTAGTTTGAAATGCTGTTCTACTATTTACGAGTGGTTTCTATGCTCAAATTGTCTGAGATGGCAATGATAGTGTGTGAGGACAAGCTCTCACTTGACCTCCAGCTTCAGGTCTACCACAACCTGACCAAATTTAGCTGCAATAGTGGTACCACGTAAAAGTTCTAGACGCAAAAAAACGGCCTTGAGTCGCAAAAAACAGCTTCGCTCAGCAAAATAACACTGTCTGGAATGTGGGGAGATAATACAAATGGACTATCCTTGACAGGACTGTTAAGGCCTACTGATAGCTCCTCTGCGATTCGCAGGAACTACAATTATATTATTATAGATTCTAAACCGTCTGCGTATTTGGTGATTCTTGACGTTGAACTGTTTAATACTCTTACCCTTTACTCTTGATGCTATTCTTTGAGAACTATTATCAACTCATTCTTCTTCACCTTTTTTGTTTTACCACTTTTCACAAGAAATTTTTAATAGAATTTAGAGGACACAGAATTTAAAAGAAAACAAACATGGTATATTATTTTATTGTTCGCAGTGAAGACGGTCCGAAAAAGGGGCATTTTCAAATCTGAGTCTCGATTGAGAAGGCTACACTTAAATGCCACGCGCAATTCCTTATGAGTTATTTGTTATTGAGGTATATGAATCTCACTTGCGATCTCACCTAGGCCGTAGTTCTTTTTTGCGTTTTTCTGAATGCATTTTTCTACAAATTTGTCGAAAATTTTCTGCAAGTTTGTTCTGCAAGAGTGACGAAAAAATTTGTTCTGAAAGTTTGACCAAAAATGTCTGCAAGTTTGTTCCTTGGTTTGTTTGCGTTTTTTGAATGCATTTTTCTGCAAGTTTGTCAAAAATCATAATTGTGAAAACAGAAACATCCATACGTATTCGGTGGTTGTTGATTTTCAACCGCCCACTCCTATTTTTTTCGCGTGTTTCACTGAGCATACTGAGGCTGTATGGAAACGTGTTCATCAAAATTGGTCCATTCTGGCGATTAATTAGTGAATCATAATGTTGATAATTCAATTGAATTTTGCTCTCTGCATTTAACCTAAATTTAACATAATACCGATTTCCGACTGCTGAAAATGGCATCAAATGACGCGTGCTGCATTTGTTTTATACCAGGAAATCCTGGAAACCGACAGAACTCTATCCCTCTGTTCCTGTGGTTAAACTTTACCTGATACCCAAACTTGGTTCTCAAAAGGAAACGATCTCTCTAATTTAAATCCGGTTCTTCAAACTAAAAAACTGACGTTATCAATTAATACGTTTCATGGAATGCAAAAATCTGCAGATCTTTTTTATGGCTCGCTGCAAAGTTCTAACTTTTATCAGAAAACTTTCAGAATCGCTGATAAATCGACAATGAACTTTTGCATGCGTTTCAAAAACGACCTATATTTTTCTTTTGAATCCAGTGAAAGATTGAATAATCTGCTGCGGTAGTTATGATGCTTTGTTGTTTGAAGAGAATATGTTTCCGTGTAATCAGAAACTTCAGCTTCTAAAAAAATTGTCTAAAAAAATAAAAATTTTGAAATTTCGTGCTTGTAAGCACAAGTTTTGCTCAAACTTTTGATTGACAGTTTCTGTTATGTTTCAGTTGCCTTGAGCAGGCGAAGCGGCTGATCAAACGTGCTGCACATCTGGCAATGCGTAAGTGCACAACCATTTTTATAATCGAATAGCTAACCTTCGGTTTTTGTCAAAGTAACGATTTTGTGCAAGTTGTTAAAAATTATCTACAAGGGCTCGCTGATGACCATTTGTGAAAGATATGCCCATAAATTTAAATGGCTAGATTAGCCCACTAAAATTAAACTACAAGTAAACGGCAGATGATGAGTTCTGATTGGCTATAAAAGATTGTTGTTTCTAAACGATGTCCTCTCCAAATGAATTAAGGGGGGGGGGCATGGTCCTATTCTTGACGAAAAAATTAATAAAAAACAAGGATAACTGGTAACTGTGCAAGTAGCACAGAATGTTCCGACCATAGTTTTAAAAAATAAACAAAGTTTATTTTCAAATTATTATCGTTTTTTACCGGCGTGGTGTGATAAAAGGAGCTGAACAAAAAACTAGAGATTAGTTATGTTTGACAGTCATAGTGAAAGAAGCAAATTGAAAAACAGTTTTTGTAGAAAAATTACTACAAAAACAAAAAAATCAAAGTTTTTTGCAGTTTTTGAATTTTTGAAGATTTTGATTCCAAAAGGCGCTAAAATACTCAAGATAAACTAAAGTTACCCAAGTAAAACTAATTTTTTACTTTTTAATTAAGCTTTTGTAGCTTATAAGCATTTAAAATAAAACTGCTTTCTCGCTTTATTCGCTCGAAATCAGACTAAAAATCAAAAATTTTAAATCAGTTTTTCTCAGCACTGGGAAAACTTTTCTGAAATTATTGAATGTGTTTCAAATTAAGACTGCAAGGGCTTTAAAATGATATATCACTCAACCCAGTCCGATTGTTTTTTGTGGAAAATAAAAGCAAAAAAAAACAAAAAAAAACTAAAACAGACCCGAATACAAAGTTTCAATGGTCGAACAAAAACATTAAATTAGTAGTGTCCGAAATTCCAATTTTATCCTAGAAACACATGTCCGAGCACCTTTCGAAGGTGTCATCGAATCTAAGTATTACGTGTAGCTTTGGAAAGTTAACTTGACATTACTGATAATGTTTAGTTACTTGTTTACTTGAAGAATTATGGTTATCAAATTGAACTATCTTTCATCAAAAACAAAATAACCTTATCATATGTTGGTTCAATAGCGTGCTTAGGTTGCGCGGAGTCTCTGAAAATTGTAAGAGAGACCTGGAAATCAATTTGGTCGACCTAAAAAAAATGACATTTCCAAAAATTTTTCAAAACCCCCTAGCCTCAAAAAATTTCTGCAGATGACACTGCAAAAGATGCTTCTCTTCAAAATTGAACCCATGCCTGCCACAGACCCTTAAAAATATATACAAAACTTCATGCTACAATTTTTCAATACTTTTAAGGATTTAATTTATAAGTAACGTTGACTACAGAAAAAAATTACGATGAAAATGTACTGCTCAATTATTTGTCATATTCAGCCAATGAAGGTTTCTTATTGATTTCCTTATCTAGTAAGTCACATTAAGGGTCATATAATTTTCATGACATCTGGAAAATACAGGAATAATGACAATCCTTGCAATATATATGGGAATTTTTAAACTCTAGTTGAGCTCCTTGAGCTTGTCTTTTCAGAAGTCTCCTTATGGATTTTAGTCGGGTCCATTAAACAAAATTGCTTTTTTAAATTCTCGCTTAGCCGAAGTTATAAATTCAGATATGTTGCATTATAGTGAAGATCTTTTATTTTATGATGCTTCAACTTTTGCTATAAAAGTAATTGTTGGTATCCATCTAAAGCAATTTTTATGACCTTCCAGATTTTTGAAAATATGGCCAAAAATTTTGTTGATTTTTAAAAATCCGATCGACAAAATATGATGTATGGGTGATTAAACGAAAGACAGTAAAATACTTAGGCCAATCACTCATTTTTCCCCGGTATTAATTTCACCAGAACCGGATGTGACCAAATGAACAAAGAAAATTAAAAAGAAAATCAATTTGATCTCGATCACTTCATAGCTGTCAATCAAATTTATTAAAACATCTGAAATTTTTCAAAGAGGTATCTAATTGAGTTTAAAATCAGAAGAAAATAAAAATCAACTGAATATTTATTTTTTTTGAGTGATACTTCTGCTTTTGAGAAAACAGATTTCTGTAGGGAATTCCAGGACGAAGCAAAATGATTTTTGTTTGGACAAACAAGATAGCAATAGGAACTCGTTTTAATTGATTGATTTGGTATTTTGAGGTTATATGTTAATGCTGGCGTTGCTAAAGAGACACTGTTTTGTCTGAACTTACTTCCTTTCCTCTTCTGAAAAACAGATCTGTTTTTTAGAAGCTTGGAATTTAAATACCTTTGATGATCCACGAGAAGCAAACAATTTTTCTAATTGCGATGATAAAGTTTCAAGAAAATAGGAAAAAGTTTGGGCGATGGAGTTTTGTGATCATTGGTGAGTTTTTTTGCCGCGCAGGGTCTAAAAAAATCTTGGTGCCGAAGAAAGCGTGTATGAATTTATAAGACAATTTACCTATTTAATAGGCTACACCAGTAGACTTAGGGGGGGGGGGAGGGCGGACGCTCCTTTCTCAGCAGTGATTCGACCCCCTGCCGACCCAAACGGTCCCCCTTTGTACTATTTTGAGATCCCATTTTTGGCGACGGACCCTAGAATTTTTCTAGAGGCGCCTTTGGCGCCAATATGTACTAATTTTGAAGCGCGCGTCAAAAAAACGCGATTTTTTTGTCAAAATTTTCCAAAAATTGCCTAAAAACGCCTTTTTGGCCTGTTTTTTTTTTTCAAAATTTTGCCTGTGGCGCAGAAAATTTGGTCAAGATGGGGTCTTTATAGTGATTTAGGAGAGCTGAGAAAACCAATTTGGCGGACTTAAAAAAAGGTCGACAAAATTTTCAACATTTCTTAAAAATCCGCCCCCCCCCCCCACTCAAAAAACCCTAGATCCGCACCTGATACGCTATCTTCAAACTCACAGCCAATCTCGTCAACCTCTCAGAAACAATTTTCACATTATTTGAAAGACAGATTTTTAATATTTTCATTAATTGATGAACAGAACAGGCGTCACGACATCTCGGAAAATTATTTAAGCGAATTACAAAAGTGAGACATTTCAGGCAAACAAACGAGCAACAAAAAACCAACCACAATAAAATAAAAAAATTAATTTTTTTATTTATGTCGTTTGCAGATTTTTTTGAAGACAAATTTTTATTTCTCGTAATTTTAATCAAGTTTCTTTTTTTTTCAAAAAAACTGTTTAGGGTTATAACTAATTCATCAAACAAACCGTAATTTTGAATTAGTTAATTTGAATGCGCTAAGTTTTGGTTATTAACCATGCCCATTAAATTAAGATTTTTCATATCCAGTTTTTCTCAAAACGCCCTTCTAGCACCCTATTTTTAGTTTTTTATTCATTCAATGCTCACTTGTAGCTCTGATTCATTCTGGAAAGTCAAAAATTCAAGCCAGTTTTCTTCTGAATTTTTCATTACAGCTCCAATGTTATAGGCTATCACATGAATAATCATTCAACTTCTCACGATATTGTTTGGTTACCTAATTTTGGGTAAAAAACACCTGTTCGTAATACCAGGCGGTAGGCTGAAACACGCGGCAAAAAATCAGAACACGCAGCAAAAATGATGATAAGGCTGCCGTATTTTTACCCGCTTAACGATTGTTTAAATTATTCGGAATAGTCTAGATAAATTTTAATTTTTAATTAACGACACCTGCAACAAAGTAAGCTGAGAAGATCGAATAGATAAGACCACCGGGGTTAGATTTTCCACATGAATAGAACGCTTTCTTGTTCTGACCGTTGAGTCGGTTAAGGCTAGGTAGATCCAGATCCCTCTAGGTAGCTCTAGGTACAATGGTATAAGTTTCTGAGATTTGGCTTGCACCATAATAACATGAAAAACAACGATGGAAAAACATCAACTGAGTTGCAAATTTCTAAACGGAAACGGAAAACAAAACAAAACGGTAGTGAATAACTGAAACAACGGGATGATTTGAAAGGCGGATCCAGGAATTCCTGGAGAGGCGGGGGGCAGATTTTTTTTCTAGGTCGACCAAACTGATTTTCTGAGCTCTCCCAAATCACTATAAATATTTGACCAATCCTCTCGCTCCGCCCCCCCCCCCTCAAAACTAGTATAGATTGGCGCGCCCAAAGCCCATTTAGAAAAGTTTAAGGTCAGTCATCCAAAAATGGATATCTCAAAATAGTACAAAGGGGGTACCCTTTGGGTCGGCAGGGGGTCGAATACCTGAGGGAGGGGGGGGGGGCATCCGCCCCTCCCTAAATCCGGTACTGATGTGATCTGTTTTTTCAAATCCAAAAATCATTATTGAAAAAAAATTTATAAATCCGACATTGATTTTGGAGGCTGCAAAAGCACAAATATATCACTATAAAATAAACAATTCTGTTATAACGTCCCTATTTATAAAGTTTTCTGCTACAATCTGAAGATACATTATCAAAATCTTGTAAATAAGAAAAAAACCGTTCTAATTGTATCAGGACTTGTATCACAACAGAAAACAATACAAGAACCGGGGGACCATTCAACGCCTATGAAATAGCAACTTTTTTTTCAGGTTTTGATGTTGTTTAAAAAACGAAAAAAAATAATAAACGAGTTTCCTTTCAGTTAAAAAAAAATCTCAGTACAATTTGATGCACTTAGCGTCCAGTAACGTGATAATAAAACCAATTCATGCCTCTTTTCGGTTTGGAACAATTTTTAAGCTGGATTCAATAACCGTTTACGCGCTAATATCACGAAATAGATTGCGCATGTATTGCCCTAATTTGCCCATATTATCAATTTTCAAACCCCATATTGTTACGAAAAATTATCGAAGGTAAAAAAAATAATTTCAAGATGAGCTCATTATTTTTCTGAAATTTTGTTGGATGATGTAGTGAAATCCGTTCAATTGAGGCTGGTTAAAAAAGCGAAATTGGTCTCAAAAATACACACCGAGCACGAATACTATACACCTTTTTTTCATAAACAAAACTAAAAAATTAGGTCTAAAAACGCAACATTAAAAATTTGGATCAAATGGCTAGAACCAATTCGAATTAGATCATTTTCTGAGTCTGGTTCCCGTAATGTATCTGATATAGGTTTTAGGCAATTAAAAAACATGAACGTAAAGCTTTGATTTGGATCAAAGTTTGACTTGTTTTTTATTTTCGCCGCCGAAAATACAAATAAGAAAACTAGAAATTTGGGACCAGAAACTTGAGAATTTCGCAGAAAACTACTTATTTCAAACCTACCCAGCTGGAGATATCAAGCCCCATATTGTTAGGTGAAATTTTCGAATGGGAAAAATTGTTTTTTTTTCTGAGCATGTGTATCAATTTTTTTACTCTATGAAAACGTTTTAAAAAATCAACCAGCACAAATATTGTAATCGTTTTTTTTTGCGAAAAATGGCCCAAACAGGAGCAGTGGGTTGAGCAAAACAGAGATAATTTCAAAAGTGAAAAGCATGCTACAAAAGCTATTCAAATTTTGCCTGTGGCGCAGAAAATTTGGTCAAGATGGGGTCTTTATAGTGATTTAGGAGAGCTGAGAAAACCAATTTGGCGGACTTAAAAAAAGGTCGACAAAATTTTCAACATTTCTTAAAAATCCGCCCCCCCCCACTCAAAAAACCCTAGATCCGCACCTGATACGCTATCTTCAAACTCACAGCCAATCTCGTCAACCTCTCAGAAACAATTTTCACATTATTTGAAAGACAGATTTTTAATATTTTCATTAATTGATGAACAGAACAGGCGTCACGACATCTCGGAAAATTATTTAAGCGAATTACAAAAGTGAGACATTTCAGGCAAACAAACGAGCAACAAAAAACCAACCACAATAAAATAAAAAAATTAATTTTTTTATTTGTGTCGTTTGCAGATTTTTTTGAAGACAAATTTTTATTTCTCGTAATTTTAATCAAGTTTCTTTTTTTTTCAAAAAAACTGTTTAGGGTTATAACTAATTCATCAAACAAACCGTAATTTTGAATTAGTTAATTTGAATGCGCTAAGTTTTGGTTATTAACCATGCCCATTAAATTAAGATTTTTCATATCCAGTTTTTCTCAAAACGCCCTTCTAGCACCCTATTTTTAGTTTTTTATTCATTCAATGCTCACTTGTAGCTCTGATTCATTCTGGAAAGTCAAAAATTCAAGCCAGTTTTCTTCTGAATTTTTCATTACAGCTCCAATGTTATAGGCTATCACATGAATAATCATTCAACTTCTCACGATATTGTTTGGTTACCTAATTTTGGGTAAAAAACACCTGTTCGTAATACCAGGCGGTAGGCTGAAACACGCGGCAAAAAATCAGAACACGCAGCAAAAATGATGATAAGGCTGCCGTATTTTTACCCGCTTAACGATTGTTTAAATTATTCGGAATAGTCTAGATAAATTTTAATTTTTAATTAACGACACCTGCAACAAAGTAAGCTGAGAAGATCGAATAGATAAGACCACCGGGGTTAGATTTTCCACATGAATAGAACGCTTTCTTGTTCTGACCGTTGAGTCGGTTAAGGCTAGGTAGATCCAGATCCCTCTAGGTAGCTCTAGGTACAATGGTATAAGTTTCTGAGATTTGGCTTGCACCATAATAACATGAAAAACAACGATGGAAAAACATCAACTGAGTTGCAAATTTCTAAACGGAAACGGAAAACAAAACAAAACGGTAGTGAATAACTGAAACAACGGGATGATTTGAAAGGCGGATCCAGGAATTCCTGGAGAGGCGGGGGGCAGATTTTTTTTCTAGGTCGACCAAACTGATTTTCTGAGCTCTCCCAAATCACTATAAATATTTGACCAATCCTCTCGCTCCGCCCCCCCCCTCAAAACTAGTATAGATTGGCGCGCCCAAAGCCCATTTAGAAAAGTTTAAGGTCAGTCATCCAAAAATGGATATCTCAAAATAGTACAAAGGGGGTACCCTTTGGGTCGGCAGGGGGTCGAATACCTGAGGGAGGGGGGGGGGCATCCGCCCCTCCCTAAATCCGGTACTGATGTGATCTGTTTTTTCAAATCCAAAAATCATTATTGAAAAAAAATTTATAAATCCGACATTGATTTTGGAGGCTGCAAAAGCACAAATATATCACTATAAAATAAACAATTCTGTTATAACGTCCCTATTTATAAAGTTTTCTGCTACAATCTGAAGATACATTATCAAAATCTTGTAAATAAGAAAAAAACCGTTCTAATTGTATCAGGACTTGTATCACAACAGAAAACAATACAAGAACCGGGGGACCATTCAACGCCTATGAAATAGCAACTTTTTTTTCAGGTTTTGATGTTGTTTAAAAAACGAAAAAAAATAATAAACGAGTTTCCTTTCAGTTAAAAAAAAATCTCAGTACAATTTGATGCACTTAGCGTCCAGTAACGTGATAATAAAACCAATTCATGCCTCTTTTCGGTTTGGAACAATTTTTAAGCTGGATTCAATAACCGTTTACGCGCTAATATCACGAAATAGATTGCGCATGTATTGCCCTAATTTGCCCATATTATCAATTTTCAAACCCCATATTGTTACGAAAAATTATCGAAGGTAAAAAAAATAATTTCAAGATGAGCTCATTATTTTTCTGAAATTTTGTTGGATGATGTAGTGAAATCCGTTCAATTGAGGCTGGTTAAAAAAGCGAAATTGGTCTCAAAAATACACACCGAGCACGAATACTATACACCTTTTTTTCATAAACAAAACTAAAAAATTAGGTCTAAAAACGCAACATTAAAAATTTGGATCAAATGGCTAGAACCAATTCGAATTAGATCATTTTCTGAGTCTGGTTCCCGTAATGTATCTGATATAGGTTTTAGGCAATTAAAAAACATGAACGTAAAGCTTTGATTTGGATCAAAGTTTGACTTGTTTTTTATTTTCGCCGCCGAAAATACAAATAAGAAAACTAGAAATTTGGGACCAGAAACTTGAGAATTTCGCAGAAAACTACTTATTTCAAACCTACCCAGCTGGAGATATCAAGCCCCATATTGTTAGGTGAAATTTTCGAATGGGAAAAATTGTTTTTTTTCTGAGCATGTGTATCAATTTTTTTACTCTATGAAAACGTTTTAAAAAATCAACCAGCACAAATATTGTAATCGTTTTTTTTTGCGAAAAATGGCCCAAACAGGAGCAGTGGGTTGAGCAAAACAGAGATAATTTCAAAAGTGAAAAGCATGCTACAAAAGCTATTCAAATTTAATTTTGCTACGTTTTCATTAGATAGCTTGAAGTTTTTTTCAGCTGGTAGAGTTAGCTTGGGCTGTGACACAAATTTTGAAGATTGCTGGTCAAAACGAACTCCCATGCTTTTCGAGACGAAATCATACGGCGACAAAAGGGCAATTGGTTGTGATATGAGCAATCCCTATTCAGATTGCTTTGCGAAGCGATCCTCACAAGACCTCAATGCAGAGAAAAAGGCAATTGGCTGTGATATGAGCAATCCGTATTCCGATTGTTTCTCCAAGAAATCTTCCGAAAGTATGCCTTCTGATAAAAGAGCAATTGGTTGCGACATGAGTAACCCCTATTCTGATTGTTTTTCTAAGAAATCAACAGATCAAATGGAATCAGAGAAAAGGGCTATTGGTTGCGATATGAGCAACCCTTACTCGGATTGTTTCTCTAAAAAATCAGCCGTTCAAATGGAATCAGAGAAAAGAGCTATTGGCTGCGATATGAGCAACCCTTACTCTGATTGTTTCTCGAAAAAATCAACAGATCGATTGGAATCAGAGAAAAGGGCTATTGGTTGCGATATGAGCAACCCTTACTCTGATTGTTTCTCTAAAAAATCAGCCGTTCAAATGGAACCAGAGAAAAGAGCTATTGGCTGCGATATGAGCAACCCTTATTCTGATTGTTTCTCGAAAAAATCAACAGATCAATTGGAATCAGAGAAAAGGGCTATTGGTTGCGATATGAGCAACCCTTACTCGGATTGTTTCTCTAAAAAATCAGCCGTTGAAATGGAATCAGAGAAAAGAGCTATTGGCTGCGATATGAGCAACCCGTATTCAGACTGTTTCGCCAAGAAATCGTCAGAGAAGAGAGCAATTGGCTGTGATATGAGCAACCCGTATTCAGATTGTTTCTCTAAAAAGTCAGCAGATGAACTGGAATCCGACAAAAGAGCGATTGGATGCGATATGAGCAATCCGTATTCTGATTGTTTCTCCAAGAGGGCTCTGAAAGTGTTCAACACGAAGTTTCTTGACAACAAGAGAGCTGTAGGTTGTGATCTCGGAAACCCTTGGGTGGACTGCTTAAGTGAGTAAACGATCAACCGGAGGGATAGATTTAGGGGGGGGGGGTTTCTCCAGGATTTGACCCACTGATCACCCAAAATGTGCTATTTTAGTGCACCCATTTATGGTCAATCAACTCAAACTTTTCTGAAGCCCTCTTGGGCATTAAATTATGTATTTTGAGGGGTAGGGGCTTGTGCTGAAAAACGCGTTTTTTTAATTCAGAACTATACAAAAGTTACAAAAATTACGTTTTTTTGCCCAATTTTGCAAAACTAATAACTTCGGAAGAGCCTTTTGGTCAACGAAAAAAGTGGTAAGTAATTTCTACTTAAAACAATTGCCCTTAAGGTCGCTTAAATTGATTTTCAGATTAGAAAAACAATTTTGTCTCCGAATACATCCGTAAAAACAATTTTGTCTCCGAATACATCCGTAAAAACAATTTTGGGTTGTTCGACCAAAAATTGGTTTCCTATAACTGTGCCAAATAAGGGACCATTTGGACCCCCTTCCCAGCTAACTCCGCCATTCCATGTTTGGAGTATTCTGTATTCCTTGATTGGCAACCAGCTGCTTCTGTTCTCATGATAATTATTCACTTCATCTAGGAGCAGGTGACCTCTATTTATTAATAATAACCAAGACCTCAATTCTATTTCAGGCTAATTATTGAGGTCAATAACGGCTAACGAAGTGAGCAAACGAAGACATCAGCACACTCACTAACCACACACTTCTATGTCGTCACACAAAACAACACTGAAACGAAATCAGATCTCTCAAATTTGAAAACACGAACGGTGATCAAAATAACTAGATTGAGTCGTAAATCACAGTTTCTCTCGGCGCTAAGATTAAACCATAATTTCGATTTCTAGGCCATACACAGAAATACATACAACACCTGTACATGTACAAATACAAAATGCGCAAATGTTATAAATTCACCACTAGTGATAAATTATTCTGCATTGAATTGATGATTTATTGAACCCAAATCCACTATTTGTAAACAAGAGGTGAATCGTGAACAGATTAGCTGAGATTTATCATCAATCCCTTTTTGATTAGCTACTACAATCACCTTCCAGGATAAGAGGCGACCGAATGTGACATCATTATTATGACTGCAATCTACCATACATGCAATACTGTTCCTTGTTTCCCCTAAGAGGCCGGGTGACTCATTCCCAAAATATGTAAGAGGTCCCATGTTTGATTATATATTACCATATCCTACCATAAAGCCGCCCTCCCGTCCCCCCCCCCCCTCAAACCCGCCTTCAGAGACTTTATGCAATCCATCCTCTGACTTGAAAATTTTCAAGATTAGGATTATGAAATTTTTATTTTTCCTTTTTTGCGAAAGCTGTTTTCGTTTTTTTTTCGCTGGAAACTTCTACCTGGCTATATGAAGACGTGAAGATCCATTTGCTGTTGCTTTATATTAAGAGTCGCAGTGAGTGCAATGAATTTTTCATTTTCACAGTTCAATTTCACTGCGACACACGATCTTTTTATTGTATCCTGGTTAATTTTTCCAACCTTTTATGGGAACTTTTAGGCTAATCTTATGTGTTGCTGCATCGGTGAAATGAACCATTTAATTCCTTGGCTTTCATAGGGAAACGATAATGCGCAACTTCAAAAGAGATATTGATAAGCTGATTTATTAGAAACTAAACTTTCCCAGGCTGGTATAATTCACAGGGTCTCTTTTAATCTTTTTTTTTCAATCCTTTTGAACCTTTAAGAATAAAACAGGCCAGGAAAACAAATGGATTATGAATTTAGCAAACTCATTCGCTGATTCATGGGGAGTTTTAATAAATTGTGTGCAGGCTTTAGTCAGTCAAAAGTCCATGATCATTGTTGGTGGGTTGTTCAAAATAACCTGGCGAAGAAACCACGGGCAGGCACAACATCGGTTCTCGACAGAACAGCTCGTATGTTGGTTACTTTCCTCATGAATAAATGATCATTATCGAGGTTAGAAAAATGCCTCCCAAAAATGAGCAAAATTGATTTACATTTAGATTTTTGCCGGTGACTAAATTTTCTTTGAAGTCTTTTTGATAGGATTTTTGAAGAAAGCGAACGAGAATTTTTGCGTGAGGTGTTTTTTATTCAGACCAATTCCGCCTTTAATAACTGTTGTTGACAAAATTCTTTTTATACCGTCTGAAAGGTATTGTAGTTTCGACTTCAGTTTCAAGAAATTATGTCTCCTGTGACAAATAAATTTTGTCAGTAATGGGGAATTGCAAATTGTTAGTTTGGCATTTTTAGATAATGAATGCGCGCTATTCACCAGTTTCCCACCAACGCTTAACGTTTGCGGCGATTTCAATGATTCTTTATTGAATGGAGGCAAATAAATAGTTCCAAGTAACTTGAAAAAGAAGTTGGGAAATAAAAAACATATCTTTATACTTCAACGACGTGGCGGAAATATTTACGAGAGAACATTTAATAATTTTTACTTTCTTTAAAAAATTATTTCGAGAAAATGTTCGGAAAATAAACAGCTGCAGATGCCTTGATGGGAAGTTGGATAATACAAGACTTTTCCTTGATACAAGCAGTCTTGTTTGAAGTACGGCAGAAATTTTGTGGTTTTGAAAATTGGATATCCACATGCTCAATTCTGAAAAAAAAATGAGAGAAATCGTTTGTTCCAACTTTTGACCAAAGTAACAAAGTATTTGTACTCAAACTGGTTTTGTTGCTTCCGATAAAATACGGAGCAATAAACAACTTTTGTTCCAATTTTTGGTAAAAGTGACGGAACATTTGTATTCACAGTGGTTTTTTCTCCTGTTGAAGTTCGACTCTTCAGCTAGCATTTCGGGCAAGTTTTTCCTCTATCATAAAAACCTTGATACCCCAGCCTCGAGCTCAATTAATTATATTACCTTTAAGAAAATTTATTAAAGTTAATTTGTTTGTAATTTGCTAATTTGGTCAATTTGTGATAAGTATAGTGCCAGTTGTTAGGATAAGACGCAAGAAAACGGCTCAGAAGTTATTACAAATTGATTTGAAGCACAGTAAATAATTTAAAAATTGCCTTAAATTGCACAATAATTATTGTATTGTTTCGACTTTCGAAAAAGTGAGAAATGTGTATGCTTGAGGTGATATTATTGTTCCGACTTTCGATACGAAAGTAACGGAATATTTGTGCTCGGGGTGGGTTTTTTTTCTCCAGACAAATTTCGACTTTTTAACTAGCCACTTCTGACGGAATTTTTTTGTATCATTCGAAAACTATTGTTGTCCTGAGCTTAAATTTGAAAAGATATTTCACCTGTGACCATTTTTTGTAAAGTTATGGGGGTTTAAATATTGCCATTTTGGCCAATTTGTAACAATTACCGCGCGATATATTTTGCGCTATTAACGCGTAAGCAGAGATTTAATCCGCCTTAGAAACCGTTCCAAATTTGTTCAAGGAAGCTTATATGCCATAATTGATATAATAATAGGAGCGAAATCTATCTTTTTGTTCCGACTTTCGATACGAAAGTAACGGAATATTTGTGCTCGGGGTGGGTTTTTTTTTCTTCAGACAAATTTTGACTTTTTAACTAGCCATTTTTGACGGAATTTTTTTATATCATTCAAAAGGTATTGTTATCCTGAGCTCAAATTTGAAAACATATTTCACTTGTGATCATTTTTCAAAAAGTTATGGGGGTTTAAAGATTGCCATTTTGGCCAATTTGGGACAATTAACGCGCGTTATATTTCGCGCTATTAACGCGTAAGCGGAGAGTTAATCCGTCTTAAAATCGTTCCAAATTGGTTGAAAGAAGCTTATTTGCCATAATTGTTTGGTTACAAGGAGCAAAGTCTATCCTTTTGTACTTTGTATGGCTTGTGGGGGGATGATTTTTATTTGAAAAAAATGAAATGTAAAAAAAATAAAATGAAATTTTTTTTCTTCTAAAAATTGAAATTTTTTATGAAAATCATCCCCCCACACGCCATATAAAGTATAAAAAGATAGATTTCGTTCCTGCTCCCTCCATAAATATTATTACTGCTCCCTCAATAAAGCTTCAAAAGGCAGTCGGAATATTCAGGGCTTCGTTCTGATACGAGCAGTCTTGTTGTACTTTATATGGCGTGTGGGGGGATGATTTTCATTAAAAATTTCAAATTTAAGAAGAAAAAAATTTCATTTTATTTTATTATATTTAATTTTTTTTATATTACTGCTCATGAAACCTCAAAAGGCAGTCGGAACTTTCAGGGCTTCGCCTTGATACGAGCAGTCTTGTTTTGTATTCAGACCAATTCTCAAAAATGTTTTCCTCGGGTGATCGATCCGTGGATCTTCATGGTCCAAGAAGGGGCGAGCTCACCACAACTACTAACGTAACAATAAAAACGCTGTGATACTTTGATTCTGGATTTTTAACATGCATTATTTGCGCATGGCGAAGTATCCCGCACCACAAAATTGTTCCAAAATCAGTTGAGACAGGCTAAATGGTCGTATTAGTTCCATACACGATTCTTGGAATCGTCATTATTTCAATAACCAAAAACTAATCGGGACCGCTTAGTTTTTGGCGGTCCCGATTAAAAACTAAGCGTCATTATTTCAATAACCAAAAACTAATCGGGACCGCTTTATGGACAGTCAGAACGTTCAGGGCTTACCCTCACAATATAACAAAACGTTCAGATACGAGCAGTCTTGTTATATTGTACTTGAACTTTTGCGAGGGAAAGTTTTCAAAAACATTCCAATTTTTCTCCTCCCTAATTTTGTTTATATTTTTTCCGTAAATGCATCAGAAATGTTGAAGAGCAGTAGGAACTAACAGGTGCTTCATGGATATTTCAAAACCAGCGAGTTAACTTTCAGAATGTGTTTAGAGAAGAATCTGTAAGTGGCATGTAGTTCGACATATTATATGCTTAAAAAGTACAACTAATATCGGTCATGTTGACTCTGGTTGGTCGGAAATGTCATCCTGTGAGACAACTTAAGATCAATCACTGAGATTCTTTTCTCTACATGCCAATTTAACAAAAAAAGAAGGTTTTGTGGAGGAAGTTTACTGTGACTAAATGGCTAAAACTATTTTTTAGGTCTATTTAGCCACTAGAAAACAAACACAAGGAGTTGATTTTAAGCTTTCCGGAGAAATGGGCCGGATTTCAAAACAAACGTAGATCAATTTTCAAAATATATATTTTTAGACAATCCAATTGATTTTGAGAGCTCTTCGAGAATAAACTTCACTAAAATATTTTCTTTAGAAACAATGGCTGAGTTATGTTATATGTCATTTTGGATATTTTTGACCCAAAGGTGAGATTCTCAAAACTGTTATCTCTTGGCGCCCATGACGCCTTGCACAACTCAATAAGATAATTGTTTGGCCATAAAAAGAAAATGGATGCCACAACTAGTAGCAAAAAAGGAATCTTTGCGTGGTGAAGGGAGAAATTCGTAGAGGCAGGTTGCACCCTTCCATTAAATACCACATGGGATGAATATCAAAGGGTTCGTGCTGCTATATTGAATATATAGGGATTGAGCATTTATTTTGTGATCTTTAAAATCAATTTTGCACCTTGCTGATTAAGTCTTTTGGTTTTTTGAATGGTTACATAACCATTGCGATAAAAAAATAATGACTAAACTGCCCTATTTTCAAACCCAATTATCTAAGAATTTGAAATTGGAAACCTTCCGTTGCTCTTAAAACATTGATTGTAAGGCGACGCTGCTGTTAGATTATCCGTATGACAGCTTTCTCCTATCAGGCAAAAAAAGGTTTTCCAGAGGAAATAACGCGTTACTGGAGCAAGCTGCTCGCATCATGGCAAGACCTTCATGTTTCGGTGGTACTTTGATTTATCTGAATTTTTTTGGGTGAGAAGTTATAAAAAATTTAAAAATAGAAGATTGTTTTTTTTTACACAAAATTGACCAGATAAAACTACCTAAAATGATGAAAAGTGAAGTGACAGAATGGACTAAAGTCATTAGTCAACATGGTTCAAAAATTGACAACTTTATTTCTGAATCACAA